CTTTTTAAGAGGCACATAAATCTGACTGTCGTCTGCATAACAGTGGAAATTACTCAAATCTTCTTATGTGCTTAACTGAGATAAATTCAATCAAATCAGAACAAACTGATGCAGGTGTAGTTTAGGGCAGAAGTTCCAAAACCTTTCCAAGCCAAGGTCCCCCAAATAGCATTAGCTTACAGCTTTTATTAATGCAACAATTCTTACATTTGCATGTAATATCTTTAATTATTACATTAGATTCAATATTTCTATTTTTTATTATTCCATTCAAAAGCATTTGCTAGTAGGCAAGCTAGCAAACTAAATTACAGGAGCAGCAGCTTTCTGGCAGGTGCAGACTAGTCAACACTGACTGTTTATGCAATTACAAAGATGAGCATGACAAAGAACATATTTATATGTTAAGATACTTGTATTTTATAATAATACACACTCAGGTGATTAGTAAGTAGATTGTATTTATTGTTCTATTATTTATTTAGCATTTCCCTCATCTTTCCTCAAATGACCCCCTGGCAGGTCCGATTTGAAAAACACTGGTTTGAGTTTATCCATAACATGGATCTAAGGCTGTGTTTGAGGGAAACAAAGTGAAGACTATCTCATAATTGGCAAACTCATCCTGAGGTAAACACAACAAAAATATATATTGTACACATTCATCCCATCAACCTACCTTTTAAATGTGGTATTTACCTTGTCTGTGGGATTGTTGGCCTCCCAGTAGAGCAGTTCAAAGCCAATGATAGGGTCCTGGACAGGCCAAAGCCATGAGAGCATGATCTGTGAGTCCAGCTCAGCCTCGGCCTCAAAAGTAGATGGCTGAGCCGGAACTTGAGGCAGAAACAAAGAGATAAAGAAATAACAGTCAAGAACAGAGACAGTGAAGAATTCAAAAGTGGAAATACAAAGTTAGGAAGTCCGGAGGTGAAGTGGGAAGCCGGGCATAGAGAGGTGCTCAGCAGTATTCAGAACAGCAAACAAACTAAGGAAGTATTATAGGATTTTATCACTTTTAAACCCTTTGAGGTGAAACCAAGAATTTAATTTACGAACAGATGTTTCATGTCCAGGACGTATTTGAGGTGTGTTCTGCTAATATGGCAGGCCACAGCTTCTCCAAACACCATTATCACTGTACAGCCAGATTGTGATGTCTTGATGTCGCTGATGAAGCTTGGTCGTGGCTTTACTACTTCCCTACCATATTTGTCAGTTACTGGACCCTGAAAATCCCAATTACAGTGTAAGTATGGTGGAGCTGAGGTGAGTCAAAAAAGCTGCAATAATCACGGTTGATCTGCGAATGGCTTAAAATCCTGTTAATCAAGCAAAAACACACTTTTTTTTGTTGTTTATTTTTAACTGTTTAAAGTGACTATTTGTCTGTGTTGTGTTTTTAGCTTGTTCCACTGCCCCCATAAGGCCAAACCTGTTGTAGCTTTAAAGCCCCTTTAAAGCACACTGACAAAGGTGTTTTCACTTGTCTGACTAGGGTTCTTCTCAGGGAAGTCTGGAAGTGCAGACTGTGTTTGATTGACATCTCTCCTGTGACTTCTGAAGATATGGAAATCATACGAAATTAGTACCAACCATGTAATGTCTAGCTAGTAGAGAAGGTGGCTTAATAACGCTCCAAAACTGGCATGGCCATTTTCAAAGTGGTCCCTTCATCGCTGACCTCAAGATATCTCAATGAAAATGGGTTTTATGAGTACCCACAAGTCTCCTCTTTACAGACATGCCAATTTTATGCTAATCCCAGGAAGTTTGGGTAAAATTGGAATCCTGAAACTGTGAATTCGATGAGCCCAATTGTATACATGTGTGATGTTGTTAACCCCTTGGTAGCAATTTCATTTTAGTGTGACCATCTTTTAAACTTAATGTCACTGAATAAAATAACCCATTTTGACCTTTAGGATAATCCCAGCCCCATTAAACTGCACAGCCACAAATAAAGACCAAGGGCATTCACAGGCTTCAGGGTTAATTTCCAGAACATAAAGTACTCGCCAACCAATTACCAAAATATGCAATTCTTACAGAATCTCAAAATGTATAAAACATTTTTATGTATATATAAAATCACAGCATGAATCTTTTTTTTAAATGGTGACAAGGTTTTGGTGTTAAATTTTGCACCAAATCTGTGTAACAAATGGTATCTACCAAAAAACATCTGCAACCTATTATGGGACATAACTGAGCATGGGAATGGCCATCATATACTTTTATCATAATGTTGTAAGCCCTTAGACACTCTATAAAAGTCTTGAAGGCTCCTATAAAAGTTGCCAGTAATAAACCAGTGATTATTTTGCTGATGATATGATACAGTATATAGTAGATGGTCACATAATAGATGGCATGTTTGGGAAAATGTTATATGAGGACTGATAAAACAACAGGTTGAAAGACTTATAATTTATGTCAGCCTGGAGGGGTACTGAACTTGATTCTGCAAATGAATAAAGTGGGTGAGCTGAATTTGGGTGGCTTTATCTTCTGTTGCAGCCCTGTTGTGATGTCATGTTTCTTTCTGCCGAGCACAGTAAACTGAGAACACTGACAAACAGCCTCTCTGTGAATGAAATACTATTATTATTCCTCTACGTGCAGGCAGCCACTTTGTCCTTGAGGATAAAATGTGTGAGACCTTCACACTGCACACACGCCCACGCATGCTGTATATGCTCCTGAGTATTCTTGTGCAATAAATTACCCACTGTGTTCATCTCAGCTGGTGAATATTTGACGGACTAATGTTTCACATTACAGCTCTGTTTTTCTGCCGTTTCAAAATGATGGGAGTGTAACACAGTGTGACTAAATTTATCCCACACAGTTCTGCTGCTACCAATAAGTTATCCATGGGTCCATTACACAGACACACACATTTAACACAAGTACACATGTAGCTTGGTGCCAATGCCAGCTAGGCGTCAATCTCAATTACACTGCTTTCTAATTGCACAATAATTATGGAAGTCATAGAGATGTAATTTAGAGGTGCTACATGTGCCGATGACAGTTAGCTATACACTGTTGGTTACAGTGCTAGTTTTGTTGGTGTTAATGTTTCTAATAGTGTATTTATTCTAAGCTATTTTTAAAAGTAAAGTGCTTTTGCAGTTAATGTACCAAAAAAAAGAACAATATGCACTGATGGATTTCAACGAAATTTCAACTTTGGAATGTAACTGCCAATTAATTAATCAATTTCTTGTGAGCATTGCATTGCAGGACAAATGGACTGCACTGCATAGTAAATGGGCTTATTCATACAGTGATGACAACGTCTCATCACAAACAGAAACTAATTCATTCACACACACATCCATACACCAATACACAGCATCAAGAGCAATTTCAGTTTCTTGCTCAAAGACACTTTGACATGCATTCGGAGCAGTGAGTCTGGGATCAAACCGCTGACCTTCTAATAAGTGGATGACCTGCTTTACCTCCAGAGCCACATCCGCCCAATTGTGTGTATCAACAGCACAGTCAAAAAAGTGTTTTTAAGTATGAATACTGACTGTTTGGAGTATATTTTCTATTCTCACTATTCTAGTGCGAATATACTGCTCACAATTAGTGTGTTGTGTAGACCTGGGACTAGGGTTAACACGATATCGTAGATACCGATTTTAGATTTTCACTACATGATTACTATGGCCAAAAGAATTCAAAATAATGTAAATTTTGAAAAATCAAAAACATAAAATGCTATAAATCATCTTTACAATTCATCTTTAATATTAACAAAAGTGTACGAAAAAAACGATTACACTGCGTGTGAACCACAAAGCGAGAATGGAAAGAAATGGAAATGATTTGAGCAACCAGTTTGTAGGATGCAGTTGAATCTAGTGCTAAAGTTGCAGATCCCAACCAACTGAACACTGTTTGCGTCTGTATTTGACTCACTTTCCAGCACCCGGCAAAAATCTGACCCTGTGGCACACAATGCAATGTGACTAACTTAGTAAGCATGCTCTCACCTCCCTGCTGGGTCTTGATCTGCAGAACATCAGATGGAGGCCCGTCTCCCACAGATGTGAAGCCCAGCACCCTCAGGCTATAGGTGATATCTGTGGTTAGACCTGAGATGGTGGTGAGCTGGCTGTCATCCGTGTTGTGTTTCTGCCAGGCACTGAGCGGCGTTTCATGCTCTGAGCTGTAGTAAACTCGGTAGCCCCGGATCTGGCCGTTGGGCTCCTCCGGAGGTTCCCACTGAATCAGCATGGTGCTAGAGCTCAGCATGCGAGCCTGGACGTGAAGAGGAGGCGATGAGGGTGCTTGCTCACTTGTACGCGTGTCCACGATGCCGCTGGGAGGACCCCGGCCGACATTGTTGACAGCCATGACATGAAACTCATATTCGGAGAAGGGGCTGAGACCGCCAATGCTATATCGGGTTGTGGCTACTCCATCTACTTCCTGGAAGCCATTGTCAGAGAGTTTGGCGCGGTACTGGATAACATAGTAGGACACTGGTTCTGGGTTGCCAGAGTCCCAGGTCAGGGTGACACTGGTGGCTGTGGTTTCTGTCACAATGAGGGAGGTGGGCTGCTTGGGCAGGGCTGTTAGAGAGTGGAGACAGACAAGAGAGTCAGACAAGTTTCTACAGTTTTCCCCTCTCTCTGACATGAAGGTCTGGCAGGAGGAACACCCACTGTAACCCTGAGTACATGGAGCCCTTCAACACTGTCAGTCTAAGTGTTAATTATCATTCAGGAACCTGTCTCTGTCTTCTCCTAATCTGCATAGGGCTAGCAGGCTCAGCACATGTATTATGTTGCCAGTCAGATGGGTGCATGTACCATCCATGTAAATCCATCTATAGTCTACATAAGCAGAGCTGGAGTTCATTAGATGTGCATATATGTAAAAGCAGATCCTACTGTCCCCATCTTTAAATAACAGCAACAACATGCAATTTTATAAATTTCAAAAAAACTTCCCTATGTTTTAGGGCCCTAACATAACATAACCTCTTGGTGCTCTTTATACTCTTTCTCAATTGAAAATGACCTCTAAGCAAAGGTTCACAGGTCTTTGTCAAGTAGAGGAGAATGTGTCTGAGATTGAGGACCCTGATTACGAGGGATCCTCCTGTGATGAGAATAAGATCCTCGGGGTTGACCCTGCATTCTCTCTCAGCTTGTGTCGACAGGGACTTTCAATGAATTCACTAAACTCACTTTAATACTGACATGGAGTCTTTCAGAACCACAGAAAGTCAGTATCATTCATCGTAATTATGTTGTCACCTTGATGTAGACTAAAAGGAAACAGCCGATTCATTCACCTTCAATTGAGTGGTTTTACTCCACATTAGCTCACACTATATCAAATGAAATGGATAAGGCTTTCTCTCTGCCTTGAATGTAATTCGAATTTTAAAAATATATAAAAATATAGTGAAATGAAATGAGATCAGTGAAATGAATGGAATTATGTTAATTCAGCTTGAAATATTTAATATGAATCATTAACTGAATGATTTTGAGTCAAGTCAAAGTTAAAATTCTTTCAGTGTGTAAAGGTACAAAGTATTATATTATAATAGTATTGGTGTTCTACATACAAAATCAGTCCACCATAAAGACAGATAATGCACTGAACTGCAAAAGACACATCGGTAAGGACATCATAGTAAATCCACAATGCTATATAGCATTACATTAATGTTTATTTAATATATTTTTGTACACACATAGGAATGAATGCCTCATATTGAAGCTGTTTTATGAGTTTGTCTACTGGCATTTCCCTGAGGATCTGCAATACTTAGGCTGTATTTCTGAGAGCCTTTTATCTTTTACCTTTTGTCTTATATCTACTTGGTGCTCTTTGTAGTCTGAAATCCATAATTCCTATACACCTACAACCTAAAGCAATACAAATCCAACTAATTAAACATGTTTCTTTCTCACAGTAATTAATACAATAGCAAAGTTTTTTTTTTCAATGAATGGAAATAAGACTGTATGCCATCATGCTCACTATGTAACTGAAACAATACTTGACTTTATTTTTACATAAATTTATTCTACTTGTTGTGGTCACTAGTGTAGCTAACTAGCAGCATGGACTAATGGAAAGCAGATTGTTTTGCAGGTAACCCCAGCTGTGCTCCATTAAACCAATGACAGCGTGGCATAAATGGCACAAAATGGTAACCTTGCTAAGCAAAATCACAAGATCACACAAAATTCCACAGTGGTTCTGACCTATCAGCATCCTTTAAATTACTACCGGCAGCTACAGGCATGGTTTAGCGCTAGGTGTGTGTGACAGCATGTGTGATAGGGTTAGGCCAAAATAATTATTAATACCCCCAAATAATACATTAAAGCTGTCAGGTTGAGTACCCATAGGTTTATGAATATTCCTCATTGCATGTGTTTTAACTATAGCTGAAGTTCAATGTTAAAAAACAGTGCAGTTCCCGGATTCTAGGGATGGTGTGCTTCTGTCCCTGGGATAGAAAATGTCTTATTTTCAGGAAAAATATGAATCCCTAGTGTGTGGGAATGGTGGCTGCTGCTAGAGGGTAGCGTAGATGCTGCTAGCATCAGTTCTGTCAGAACTGGAGAGTATTTCTTTACTAAAAGAAGAGCAAAGAACACCACTGAAGGCTTTTCTCCATGGAAAAGATCTTTTCATTCTTCTCCCAACTGACTTCAGCGAGAGTTTGACTATGTTATATGGTTCATTGATCTGATTGGTTGAAACTGAAAGTGTCTGCCCGTTTCCAAATGGTGTGTTACACAACCATTTGGGAGGTTGTCGTTGGAAACTCAGGTCAGGTTAGCTAGTTAGTTCAAACAAAATTTTCTTTTTTTTTTCAAACTTCCAACTGCATGTGACTGAGATATTCTAAAAAAAAACAACAACAAAAAAGCTAGTGACAGGATGTAAAATTATTTAGCCACACATGCTGTTCCTGTGGTCAAGAATGAACTTCCTTGCAAAAAATTCTATTTGATTAAATCATTTGAACATTTGAACATTTGCATCCTTGGGCCTCCATTCAACTGCACAAAAAAACTTCACTATCACCAACAAAAGCATTTAGAAAAAAGCAAATGTTTAAACATTAACTGCATTTATTTACAAATGATTCAAAACAAATTATTCAGAAATGTTTTTGTTTTTTGCTTCCAACCTTTCCACTGCCCTCTGTGAGAGTGTTCCTGACCTTTGACAGTGATCTGGGCCGTGGTCTCGATCATGCCCAGGGAGGATATGGCCACACAGGTGTAGTTGGCAGACTGTCGGATGTTGGTGAGCTCTAGGACGTTGCGGCCAATCGGCATCTCTTCCTCCCGGGTCAGTTCCACCTCGCCTCTCATCCACTTGACATAAGGCATGGGGGCCCCGACAGCAACGCAGGTCAGGTTGACGCTGCCGCCGGGCATCACATCATGATTGGTGGGGGGGATGGAGAAACGGGGAGGCACACGACGAACTGCAGGGGTAAAGAGAGGGAGTGTGAGAGGACACAGAGGGGGGCAGGCTCGGCCACTGGTCTGACTTCATGTTGGACTGGCCTGGCTTGTACTGTGCTAGGGTGTGTGTGAACTGGTCAGGACTGAGGAGCCTGAATAACATTAGCTTCAGCCTGGTGGATTTTTACTGTCTCATCATCCATCTGTTTAAGACTATTTCATGGAGAGTGGATATGTTTTGCTGCTTAAGTGAGTTTATAGCAAACTTATAAGCAGGTTTCTCTCTCTCTCTCCTCTTCTCCTGCTACCTAACTACTCTTCATTACAACTGTTTCAGTTGAGATTTCTAGTCCTTTGGCTAACATGTTATATATAAAATAACAGTAATGCTATGTTAGCTTCTGAGGTTTACAGTTAACAGAGAAGATCTAAGATCTATCTGTTGTCAGTGTTCTTTCAGACAATGTTACTACCACTGATTTCACTCAAGGTTTTTGGTTTGATAGCATTTTCAGATAATTTTGTTAGGTTATATATATTATATATAATATAATAATATTTTTTACTTTCTTGCTCTTTATACTCTGTCACCTGTCTTTGATGGCTGACACGTCCAGTAATGACACTAGAGGGTAACCTATGGTGACTATTTTGAAACGGGGGGCCACTGACCAAGAGGCAGTATATGATGACTTGGGAGCAAGACCGGGTTATTCTTTTGGGTTCTCCAAGTGGTAGCCACAGTAGGTCAGACATGTAATCATGTTGCTATGTTATTGGGGCAGCTGTGGCTCAGGAGGTAGAGCAGGTCCATCCACTAATCAAAAGGTTGGCAGTTGTTTTTTCTTTTAGACAAGTTTGGATAACACTTCCTACGAACCCTTAATTTAACTGCCCTTTCAGAAACGTTTTAGTCTCATTGGTAAAAGTCCTCTTGCATGCACTCTTTACTACAGTCTGGGACCAAAGGATTAGTTTGGCTTCCCCTCTCAGAGCCCCATGACTCTGAAATGGCATTACCTGATATTATACCAGCTCTTCGCCGATAGATGTTAAATTACGGCGTGCCATCTTCACTTGGAAATGGGGTAAATTGAGAGGCTATGCCTAAGGTGTGTAGCTCGATTTCTCTGGAGAATGGAGGTTTCCTGCTGGGCTGCAGGGATTAAAATGCACCTGGAGTCTCCTGTGCTGCTAGTCAGGAGCACTTTCATCACATCTTGATGCTGAGACACAAAGTGTGTTGAGGGAATACTAAAAGATTCTCCCCTATTGTTAGCTTTCTTCCTTAGAAATCTCCCTTAAGTTGTGGAATCTGTTTCCTCATTACTACATTTGAATTAGTGCAACACTAGTGTGTCAGCATTAAATATGCAGGCTCTGTTGCATAAGTGAAGTCCTCGCTCACTTGACAGAGAGTCATGAAAATCTGACTCACAAAGTGTGATTTAAGCTGGGGGCTGGAGTATGAGTGTGAGGAGCTTACACTGTGGATCAGAGACTTCTAAGGGTTTCGTCTTGGTTTAGCTAAAGAGGGGAGAGAGCGGGGTTATAAATTCTATCACTCTGGAGCTGAGAACTGAGAAGTAGCGCTAGTAGTATGTACAGTATGTGTGGCTGAACGATGACTGACAACATTAAGTTTTGAAGCACATGCGTGGGCTAAATGTTACTGTTGTGGAGGAGAGAGTATAGTTTTTGGGCGCTGCTCATACAAGAACAGCATTGTCTGCTGGCATGGGAAGCAGCAGGCTCTGAAATGCAGATGGCTGGCATTAAGACCGCAGAGGAGAACATGATGTGGAGGAGGAGGAGAGGAGGCAAAGGGCTGAGAGAGGGGGACAAGATGGACGAAGATGAGGAGGAGGAGTGGGAGGAGGAAGGCTTCGGGGCACACTGCCAGGTCAGTTGGGTAGGGGCTCAGGGGAAATCTTGTCTTACTGTGGCTGGTCACATATTTGATGCTGCAGGACGTATATTTTGAGTCTTAGATTAAAAGTACAATAGGGTCAAATATGATTTTTACAACCTGACAGCAAATATATTTATTTTCAGGGTCGATAGCATTATTGATCACTACCAGTGATGCAGTATTACTTCATGCTGAGAATGCCTACTTTTCAAAACCCGACTTGGAAACCAAATAGCCAACCTCTTCATTATAAGTTTGGGTCTGATCTCTGCTGTAAATAGTTAGCATATGTCTAGCATGAAAACAGAGGCGAGAGAAACTCTAAACTACCTCACATGGATAGTCAAAGCATTTATTTATTTTTCTAAAAGGAACTTAAAAGTATTTTTATGTTAATGTATCTTGCTATTTGTTTATTACTTGTTGTCCTTACTTTATATTGTTATTTTCTCAGTTTAACCTTATTTTACTGGTGTTGACCTTTACTGATTTCACTTCATTTGGAGATAAAACTGAGACTATCACTGCTCTGGAAAACAACTATTGTAAGAATGGTACAATTGAGGTACCAGGAAACAGTTTGACTAAACTAGAGTTGTTGTTTTTTTTTTGTTTTTTTTTTACAACTTCTCTTATTGTCTGACTGCTTATGTTTGGTGCCCCATCTGACCTGTTTTTAGCGATGTTGCTGTGTTCCCAGATCTCAGCAAATACTCTGGTCGCCATCCTAGTTCAGCATATTTATATATATTTATATTTGCTTATTGGCACTAAACACAAAGTGCAGCTGAGGCTGACGGAAATGTCATTAGTTTTGATGGTATATGATCATAAACCAAAGTATCAAATATATTGAAGTTCTGGCTTGTAATGGTGCAACATTTACAGTTAAGGGATCACTAAAGTTCTTACAATTCATCCTGAGGGGAAAATG